TAGCATTTTGAGTCAAAGGCTTTGGTTAGGGTCTCCAAAGGAAAACCCCTGTCTTTGATGTGGGCTACCGCAAAGTAGGTCGTACTCTCAAGCCTTAGGCACCCATTTGGATGCACTGGTAAGCAAAAGACAAAACAGGTTCATCGACAGATACCAGCTTGGTTGGTCAAGGGGGTGATACGATAACTTTTTCTGGCGAATTCTGGAGCAATCTGTTTTGACTAACGTACGCGTTTCACAGAGAGAGCCTGTCTTTCAAATAAATCCAAACAATGAACACAGTAAATCAGGAGTGAATCAGTGTGTTCATGTGAATTAGATCACACAGTCCTCCCTCAGCATTCATGTCTTTTTCTAAATAGTCGTCGAAAATGACATACAAACAAAAAACACCATTACCAATATATATGGTTAATCTAATGCATAAGGATTGCCCAATAATTCGTGGTACACGTTGATCATGTGCAAGAGACATATGGCATTTGGATCGGCCTATGCCAAATCGGAACAGTGGCTAGTTGTGTTCAAAGAAGAAACGGGTGTATGTGCTACGACGGAGCACGGTAGGAGTCCCCAGATGGAATGAAACAGCATGCGATCGATCGTAAATCAGCCGAGTTTGACCAACACCTGCTGTTTTGAATAGGACAGGTATGCTGGGCACCGAACAGCATCACACAAACATACAAACACACGCATCAATCTTCAAAACAGTTTCAAAGTAGGTTGTGATTACATGCAAAAAGGGAGAGGGTGGTAACGGGAGAACGGTAGTAGTATCGGACCGCCGGAGATCGAAAAACCGGAGCTCTTTGGTCAAATTTATACAGATTGGTCATTGAGGTGTGTGTTTGTATATGTACGTTTGCGTGTACAGTCGTGATGATCCCGCACTATTTGCATCCCATATTGAGGTTAACAAACACCGAAAACTTTTTTCAATATTTTCATTGTTTATGAAGAGCCAATACCCAGTAGTGATTTCTCAGTTGCAACTGCCACGAAATCTTGGTGTTTTCGCTAAACACAGTACGCTGAAAGATACGAGGCACAGAGGTGTAAATAGTTGCGCATGCGTCTAAATGGAGATAACTGCCTAATTTACGAAGTAAAAGCTAATTTTATTGTTCATTTTAGAGTGATCAAAAATATGTAACTGTGGAGATTATTTAGCTAACGTTCCATATTTCCCATCCAGCGCTGGTTCACATCCCCGAATGTCGAACATCAAAAGAAGTAAACCCCATAGTCAAGGAGCCTGTTGTTGTCATGGCAACCGATAACCTAAGTCACAGGACATATTGGCGAGCTACACAAGACCCCACTAGCAGAAGCGTGGCATTTGGCACGGAAGATATTGAAAATATTTACAATCCGACTGGGAACTATAATCAGAGCATTTGCCTCAAAAGTATGGTTCACAATGCAGTTTTTGCGTAGATCCGAAGAAGGAACGTGACCGAAGAATCTGTATGGGAGCGTCCATGGGTCTAGTATGTACGGCTTTTTAGATTGGGGGGTTGAAGTAGTCCAGTTTGGCGAAAGTCAGTTATCCAATGAAGTACGAACACCTTCCACCTTCGGGAAAAAGTTCGTCGTTAGGGTTACACTGACAATCAAGCCATCACACCACCGCAAGGAATGGTTTTGTCTGGATGGATTATCAGAACTTAGGGGAAAATGTCCAATGAAATTATGAGGCCGTTAAGCATACATCCGACCAACGGATATGGTGAACGCACCGGTAAGTTGGACGCTGAGACAAGAGCCTTGAGTTGTAGAACAAATCAACCAATAAAGTACTTCAATGGTTCGGGAATAAGTGCGTAAGACCTCTCACTGCTAAACATCACCTCGCGTATTCCGATACTGACCCTGAAAGTAAAGGACACACATCGAGTTGCCCACTATTTGACGGACGGATATTAACAAGCCTTTATTCAAACTGGTTCGGAAATCATTGATGAGTGGGGACCGAACTAGTTTCAGGAACTTATCTGGATAGTCCCAGAGAGCATGATTTACAACACGCTCCTAGGACAAGGAATAAGATTTTTAAAAAACAACTGAGATCAGATAAGACTAGCGCAGTCAAAATCGGCACTACTCACAATCAAGACGACCAAATTCGCCTCGAATCTCATCTAACAATTAGTGCACGTTTCCAAAGTGTTAACTGGCAAGCATTCATCATCAGCATCATCGTACAGCGAAATACAGTGAAGCGAACTTCACTGACCGCTGCAAGCATTCATACTGAATCATGTTTTTTCACATATTTTTCGTGAATGCGATACAGGTATGACGATTCTATCGAAACACATTCCAGATATTCCAAGAACTCATTTCATATTACCGAAGATATCGGAAGAAATATTGTTAAATTGGTAGTCTCCCGCGTTGGAACGAGTTTATGCTTCAGATTATAAATCACCTATCTGCGTGGATAACAAACAACTACGGTATCACCTAACTGTAAATAATCTCTGAGATTTAGGCGTTTCCAATGACCCGAGAGATTGGATCGTCGGTTATATTAACGATGAAGCAGTTAAACAAATCAACACCGGACCGAGACAAAAAGTGACAGACACAAACAAACTACGTGCGTCCGGGCGAATTTGTCCTCCAACTTACCAGATTGCCCGAACTGTCCCGAACACTGATTTCCACTTCCACATTTTTCTCCTGCTTTTTGGTCCCCTTGTTAAACTCGCCCGAGATCAAGGTGACAAACAACTCGCGTCGGTCAGATTCCGCACCAACTGAGAGCATGTTGGAAAATCCAAAGCGACGACCATACAACACATGAGGTTTGCTCAATGTGCTGTGCATGAGAATCTGTTCGGTTTCCGTGCGATTGTTTTATAAGGGGGAGATGGGGGGAGGAGTGCCGGACGCGGGGGGATGGAAATCAGAAAAGTAAACAAGTGTTATCGATAGGAAACGGCTGGAATTAGACTGGGTAAATGGAAGCACGGAAAACGAGACATAACTAATGATATGGAATGAACAGATTTTATTTTGTATCCTCGCAAATATCTCATCTCACAAAGACCGTTTCATTCAACCTCAAACGGGATCGGTTTATTTGGCAGCAAATTACGGTCATGACTCCAGCTGATCTGACGGAACAGAAATTTCGTGGGGAAAACGCAAACAAACGCTCAGATCACTAAAGGACGACGAGTACCTAAATAAACAATCTAATCCAGGTAGTCTGTGTAATAAAGGCAAGGCAAGAGTGAGTGAAATGCCAGATCAATATCGACAAGACTGGAACCATTACACGTCGGTCAGAAGCTGTGAACGAGGCGAGATCAACGAAAGACAGCAACAGCAAAAACAACAACCAGTGAAACAATTCCGCAAATACTCTGTGAGGATCTCTGGGGGGGAGGGACAAGGTAGCAAGATGACTGGTATATGCGGAGCACAAAACCAGACTGACAAGCAGTAAAGAGGATTCGCGGAGGGATGGGGCGGGGAGAATGAAAAATGGACAAGCATGTGTCAGAACACAGGCAAAATCGACGTTTCCGAAACTCTGGTCCGATTCCGGCTGATGATTCGGCGAGGATCTTTACCAGATCAGCTAAGCACGATTGCCCCGGAAGAAAGAATAGTTGAATAACAATCCCAACTATGCCAGTTGGTTGTGTAAGAACGGGGCTCGCAGTTAGCATTGTTTTGTCATACAATATCATACGTAAAAAAGAGTAAATTTTGCATACATCGACCGTGAGTCCAAAAAATTATTTACATTATTTACAAACTGAATCGAACGAACAGTTATCCAAATTTAATGACTAGTACATGAACAGCTTTATATTCGAGACCGGGGTAAAATAATTATCTCATTCCACCTACAAAAGGAAATATTCATGATTGTGGTGGTGAGGGAAGTGCTCTGGAAAATCGGTGTGAACGCGTGTTTTATTAGTTTAGACCAGTCGATCGATTATCCAATCGATGAGGATGATGGTATGTGCCGAAAAATCTTCGATTTTAACATCCCTCAGTAATTATGGTACAAACTATTGACCACCGAGTCAAAAGGGGATGAAAATAAATGTATTCGTTGGTGTTTGTTTTATGTCCGACTTGGCTGTGGAATTTAAATTGAAGACCGAGACTGTTTTATGCGGGATAGATCAAACTGTATTGCGAAGACTGCAGACGAAACAACCCGGTTGGACGTGTTCAGGGGGAGAGAAAAAGAAAACCCTGTTAGTTGGATATCTTAAATTGTGAAACTCCACCCGAAACCATCGCTTTCGTTGCATTCATTTGGCAGACCATTGCGATGCAGCTGTGGTAGTATGCAACGCGTAGACACAGACAGTAGTTCAGTTTGTACTACCATTATCGTGCGCCGGTTTTGGTTGCTATCTTTCGCCTGCCCATTTGGATGAACATTAGGAGAAAGACAGGAAAGGCTGAAAGTAGGATGGAAGAGAAAATTTATAATTTCAGTGGATTAATGTTGCAGAGATTGGCAAGATGCACCAACGCCACTGTTTACGACACAGCCATGTCAATCAGTGTCTCCAACCATCGATTACGATCATCCCGAGGCCCCATCCAGGGAGCCTAAAGAGACTTATGTGACCCAGACTTCTGGTTAGGGTTTTCATACTCTCATGCCAGGTATTAGCTTAACCACCCTTGGTTTCATTCCACCCACTACCTGCCTCGGCGAACATCGCTCGCCGTGGCAACCTATTTGGTGACATGCGCAACACGCCCCAACGTGTGTAATCTACGGAGGTCAAATACTTGCTCAAATGAGCAACCGCGGTTACTTAGGGCTCTGAGCCTAACCTCAGATTGCTCGTCCGATTTCCCCACCAGATTCGTGCAATGCTGCGTAGACAGCGGTGTTCAAACACCGACAGTCTACCTTTGTCTTGTTTTCTTAATGGCCAGTTTTCTACACTATATAGCGAAACTGGTCGAACTGCCGCAGCATACACTCGACCTTTCAGGGACAGTCGGCTGACACAGACAGCGTGGTGTATCGGTCAAGTACATACGTTTGGCTGTCACTATCACTGTTGTTGTTGTTGTTGTTCCATATTAATAAATATAGACATAATATGTACTTCAAACCCACGTTTGTCTGTGAATTTGGGACCTCACGTGTATAGAACTCTGGGAATAATGAACAGAGTGTATCGTTCTCGATGATAACATTTCAGTGACGCTTGAGTCAGTTTGATTTTTGTTGAACAATATATTTTGAGCACCGATCACGGCTATATAGTGCTGTTAGTGGCGATGGCGGTGGTGACGATGATGATGAAGATAACCAAGCAGAGAACTACACAGTGGTGGGACTCAAAGCCACACTATTTACTCACTACTGTCTAAAACTTCAGGCAAGCGATTTTAACACACTGAATTATACCAACGGACTGCCTCTGTCTTATATATATACCCATCCACCTACCATCGCAATGAACTGCCGGCACAGCTTTATATCAATCCTAAACTGTTGTCTTGTAAAGATCAAGATTACTCAGTTATCACCTGTCAAAGATTGCTTGGCCGTTTGATTCCGTACATCCGACAAGCAGTGTATAATCATGCATAGTGGGTAGTGAATTGCCACCTGAAAATACCACCGAACGTACCTGAGATTGGCGTGGATCTAATACATCGATAGTCTTCAGGGTGAAGTCCAGGTCATCTGCATTTCCGCTTATCAATGGACGAGAGGAAGAGGAAAATGAACCGGAAGGGGCGATTCCGGTGGAGGAATTGGAATTAGGAATACCGCTACCGTTAGTGAAGGCACTGGATGAGTCTGTAACGATCCCGACAGGGAGACCTGTTGCCAAGGCGGATGTCAAGGGAATATCGATCAATGCGTTTAAAGTGGAGAGACCGGAAGGCGTGATTATGGGAGCGGTAACCTCACGACCAGCGGGTTTAGCGAAATAGGCCAATGGAGTGTGGTTAGCCAGGTTGAGTAGAAAATCTGTCTGAAATTGTTCACCGGTACTAAGAATAATGGTCGGGGGGGGGGAGAATACATATATGAAGGGATATACGATGGAGAAGGAATATAGTTGTGTGAGTGTAAACGAAACTGTATCAAGCACTGTATGAGTTCAGACGTCAATCGTCCGTTGTGAAATAGCCTTGCAAACATTCGATAAGTCAATCGGTAGTCAATCCCTTGGTAACATCCAGCCTGCAATAACCACGGAAAGTTCACATTACAACCCATATTTATCATTACTTGTTTGGTTTATATTCAACCGGACGCGTCTAACTCATACATACCGCCTCCAATCCATTTGATACTTCCCACTATCTGGTTTCAATCATCCGAAGACAGTAAGATTATACAGGACACACCCACCTGTTATTTTATCCTCACTTTTAGAGTTTAACCCTTTAAAAGCGTAAAACCATTGGATTTGTCATGGTTTCCTAATATCTGTCGCCCATTTCAACAATGTTTGAGGAACACAATGCTTACTTTTACACCATCAGAAATCAGGAGTGAAACGTTGTTTATCTCATCGGATTCATTCGAATCAATGCTACCTTTTGCTGATCGCGCGAGTCCCAATGGATCAAACGTTAGGAGTGACTCTATTAAGTTCACTTGAGAGTAACCTTCAGACTAGGAGCCGCCCGATTGTGGACAGGGCACGATGCAAACAGATAGATGGAGCATGGCGATCGCAGAACAGTGCTCCAGAATGCCGTCCTTGGTTGAGCGGTATAGACTTACGGCCCATGAAAACGTAATGCTTATATTCGAATTCCCCACAACCGTCATTCTACTTAAGAAATTTGGCATTATTATTATTATTATTATTATTATTATTATACCGCAACACAGTGAATTCTCTCTGCAATTACTCGGGAAGCACTAGAATAACTTTTCGCTCTCGTTAGAGCTCATCAGTAGTAGTATATGTATCGATTGATTTGAATCGCACAGAGAGTGTAAGTATTGCGTAAGGAATAATATCACTGTATTTCAATCGGTTTTCGACTGTCATTCCCTCCAACAATGGGTGCGGGGCGTGATGAGATTTGTATGCGTCTTTCATACAGACCAACCGGATGTGTTGGTAAATAACCATTCCGACATGTGCGGGCGAGTATAGTACATGAACACCCGGAGATTGCGTTCTATAATAACATTCTGTCATACCAAATCACATCATTATTTACAGAACAATTAAGACTAAAATTCCAAACACTTCCGCTAAAATACGACATGGTGGAAATAATTGCCCGGACCAAACTGACACAGTAGTCGGTGTGCTGCGGAATGGAAAACGAATATGGTTGATAAAAACATCTGAGGCAAGGGATGGGGAGAGGGAGAGAAGTGAATTGTGTTGAGACCACTTTTTCCTACTTCCGATCTACCCAGTCCCCGGACCTCTGCTCCTCCTCGTGTTTCTTCAACAGGGTAAACAAACACGTTAAGAATGATAAATTCCTAACTAAATCGTTATTTCGCTTGCCGAGTTTAAACTAACCAACATTCATGAAAGTGTTCAAAAGGAAGGTAATGTGAATGAATGTAACCAGAAAAAATAATAATATAAAATAGTCACTTGAAAAGATTAGGAACTGAATGTGCAAGCTGACCGATAACCGAGTGAGAACAGACAGACTTTCTGAAGATGACCAAAGTGAGTATGAGATTTCACCTCGGAAAAGGTGCAATCACGAGCACTGTTGAACAGTGTCCGTGAAGCGGACAAACACACGGTTGACACGCACTAGCTGAGATACGTGGACCGTAAAGGCACAAAGCGTTCGTGGGAATATGTTCTACAGTCTGTCAGTCTAAACGAATAATTTGTGCCGACATAGACTGCTGCCGACCGTGTGGGAGGTGTGCGTTCTCGGTCGCAACTGTCCGGACAACAATACTACTGATCGTGTGTTGTGCATCATCATCAGCATGAAACGTAGCACATTACCAACCGGAACAGTTTTTGATTCAGTTTCAATGACGGGGTATGGCCCGAGGATTTCCATCTGTGAGTACCATGACCAATAACAAACGTACTTGGCTAGCATAGCACCAAAAAAATCAATACAGCGTTGTGCGAAAAACTTCCAAGAGGGTAGTGGGCAGCAGCCGTTCATCTACAGCCTGGTAACACACCTAGAAGGGAGAAGTTGGGCGGAGGCGGTAGTGTTCGATTGGTACTTCGTGCCGCAAATGAATCATTTTATCCCACAGTTGTAACTTGGATATCGATTTATTGAAAACAATAATTTTTTGGTTGATTATGGTTAACTAGTCGAAATCACATTGACCCGGGGGTTGGTGATTTCAAATCCCATCACTGCCTCTGTTCAGCTTCCCCTTCTGGGTGTGTTGCCATGCCGGACTGGAACGGCTGCTGCTCATTGTCAGCTTAGGAGTTGTGTGCACAATGGCATATTGAATAAGAGGAAGTAGATAGTTATTATTGTATGTGGTTCAGCATTCACAATCGAAGGCAGTGACGGAGTTTGTTGACACACAATTCTACAGTCCGATCCGGCTCGCTGTGTAACGAGTTCCGTGATTAACCTTAGCGGTGAGTAGTGCTGGTCGCTGTAATTCGCTTGCACCGGGTCCAAAGGTCAACGTTAGTCACCGTCCCCCAGTTTGGCGGTAGGCAGCTGGGCATAGGCTTTCGGCTTAATCTCATGTCTATTCTCCAGAGGACCCTATGTAAACCGCTACTCTAAGTCTCGGGGTTAATGGTACCGGTACTAACAGTGAACAGAAGGTCCTTGAAACAGACAGTTGATGAGTAATTGAAAATATACTGCGTGTCATGCCTATTGACGGACGTGACTAAACATAAACTATACGGCCATGCATGAGAGATCTCAACATCCGTGACCGCTGTGTTCATATACACCTGTGAGGAGACCGAACGATCCAATTTCTCTATGTGTGACTCTGACTGTTTGCAAACAGCTGGCGTTCTGAGCTGTCCGATTCCCACGCACTCACTGGAAACACGAAACAAACTGTAGTTCCGATTCGTGCAAGCGAAGCACACACTCACTAAGGTGGTCACCTACACCCTGACCACAATTTCAGTGTGGATTTGGACCCTAAAGAATACATTTGGAATCCTTTACTCGTTTTTGACTGATTCGATCACATGAAAATCCGAACACTGCTGGTGTTACAAAGATCGTCACTGTGAAGCCAAAAGTTATGTATGTGTCCTGTGAATAGGTCTGGTCGTGGTCGCGGCTCTCGGGGCGCGGTCAGGCCCATTTGCTGTAGTAAGCTCAATTCAATCAGGATACATGTAGGCGTGAACGTGCGCGCCCGTGCGTATGTGTTTGAGTGAGTGAGTGAATTAATCAACCACCGCCTAGCTGTATCACCAGTATGTCACGCACACAGGTGTGAAGCGGTCCGACCGTCTGAACTCATGTTTCGCACTTCAGGGTGCGAGACAGAACTATAGAGGAAAAACAATTGGGGGTAACGACACCTTAATCACGTGACTGACAAAAGATAAACGGACGGACTAGAACCTAATCTATTAATGATAACTGTTGGCTTAGGATTCAAGTGCTGATTGAATTCCGACGCAGTGGGTAGATGCTACAAAGGATCGAAACAACACAGAACTCGACTTCAGAACAGACCGGTTTTCGATAACGATAAACAATAACTAGACTAAAACAAAGACAATCCTACGGAGTAGGGGTGGATTAATAGCTTATATCACTGGATCACAAAACTTCACACCCCTGTTGAAAAAAAACATTGTCAGGAGCATCGTTGTGTGAAATAAACACTATAACCATGGGACCGATGAAACTGTCGAGTCTGTCACTCTGGAGAGTACCAAACAGGACCCCACACATTATCAACGAAAAAAATCAGCTATCCAGTAAGCTTTTTCGACCGCTAAGCACATTTGGAGCATAAACTGAATATTTTACACGAGCGGGCAGCAACGAACTAGCAAAGATCCAAAGAAAGAAAAATAACGCAGCCCAGTTAATGTTTGTGAATTGATATGAAGATAAGGTGGATCGAGATGAGAAAGGCACGTTGTGGTTAACCACAGATGATAAAGCCACATATCTTAGTAGCCTGCGTCACGAACTGCGTTAAGCGGTTACATCATCACATCCGATCGCGCGGGCGCACAGTAAACCGTTTTCCCGCTATAGACCAGACAAACTACTACGTAATATGGGTCAGAAGGTAAACCAGCTGTTTGAATTGCTAGGACAACTGGATTATTCGATAACCCTAGCTGTTGAGACCTCAGGTTAAGCGCTACATCGCGCTCACATTTACGTCAGACAGATATGAGAATAGACGAGCAGACAGAAAGACAATACAGCTCAGGCCATAACCCTCTTCCATTGTATCCGTAGGAGTTTACTTGAAAATCGAAATGGTCTATGGTCTAAAAGTGAACGAACATGCAGACGCGCACATACCGATGAACGTACATGTTGTATTCACATGATCCGACTATCACCAATACCGCATACTATCGGTACTCCCCTCCCCCATGCCTCAGGGACACATCGCCAAACAGATCAACTCCACCGACATGTGGAGATAGACGTACGGGGCTGTGCATACGCACGCACGAATCACTTCCGGCCTGTCCAACAACAGTGTGGTATATGCAGTTGGAGACCGATATCACCATCAGCTTCTCCCTCCGTGCCCACCACAAATGGACCCAGCTGATGATTGCATTTTGGAAGAACTGATTGTGCATACAACTATACGCAAGCATACAATCAATGACAGACGATACAATTGTGCAGCGACATTGGAAACCTTGAAGTCGGGCTGCTGACTATCACAGACAGTCCAGATGACCAGATGGAGCGTTGCGTTCCATTCAGGGACACCGCGTCAACGAAGCTGTGCATCCGGATGCAGGTCAGGGCCAACTGAAATTGCCAAATTTGTGCACACGTATGGTAAAACCGTACACGTGTATACGATTTGATCACGTGATGTGAACGAGTGG